ATTTAAGCGGTGCACCCGTTTCTGTCTAATAATTGTGGAGCTGTTCAAATTATTACTGTTGCTCTTCTAGTTGCTGCTAATCAGCATCTGACTGTTTGAGTGGAATTCAACAGAATAAATTGAACCTGCAGTACCAACAACTGGGTAATTGTTTTCAAGTAACATCGAAGAAGACGTATGAACGTAGGAATATTCGTCAACTCTTCCATCAACTTCAAGCTGTTTGCTGAGTGCTGTGGTTGCTACTGACGCTTTTTTTAAGCATGCTCATTTGGTTTACTTTTTTGATTGCAATTTATTTCTGCTTTCTTCTGTTCTTCTTTAATCTTTGCCACCGGTTCACCACTTATTATTCTTCCAAATAATGAAAAATCTGTAAGGACTTTTTTCCTTCACTTCCCCAATGTTTTTGCAGTAGTAAAATAAAATTTTTTCAAGAAGAAAAAGAAATAATGGTAACCAAAATAAAAAAAAAAAACCGAAAAATTTCAGGCCTTTTGTATCAGATCCAATGGAGGAAACAAATATTCCACAACCAGAACGGCAATTAGTTTCTTATCACGACATTTCTGAAGTCATTGAACCGCCACAACAGGCAACTTATAGTACACTGGAAAAACCTAAACAGAAGAAAGCAGACGTGATGTATTGCAGGCCCGGATTCGATAATGTCCCATCATATTAAAAAGATAAGAAAGGAGTATAACTCTTTCTTATTTCGTGAAACAAAATTTAACTGTATATTTGCATGACTTCAGTCTGCCACTGATTAAGTGCCAAAGATTTGTCGAAAAAATAATAATAATTTCATCTTAGTGATAAGCAGTTAATAAAAATGAAATATAACAAAAATAACTTTTTTCCAACAGGTATTTAGACTTTGTCCACAAGCCTAAAAACTGACAGCAGTGTAAGCTATTGAAACCTTATTAAAATATTAGGAAAAACTTAATTCAGATATTCCTTACCTGCTTCTCCCACATTGCTAACAGCATCTAGATCAAAGTAAGTGTTAAGTTAAAAGTAGTATGCTTTAAGCTGTAACACAAGTGTACCAGTGTACCAGCAAGTGTACCAGCAAGTTAAACGAAGTGTACCAGCAGCCTTAGAAACGCGAGAAAACTTTAACATGGAAGTTTTTACTTGAAAGTGATTCCAGTAGCAGAACAGCATCAAGAACGGGCATCACATATCAAATTAAACGATGATCAAATATATTAACAACTACTGGTTTTTCCAAAAAAATTTTTTGTTTCTAATATAACAGCACTTATCTCCCCTCAAGTTAACAATTTTAAAAATCCTTCTTTTGACTCTTTAACTCCTTATAGATTTTTAACATTGATTAGTTTGACTTTCAGTCTGCTTCAGACTATGGTTATAATATACGTGTCTTACTCTCAGACATACCGATTTCAAAATACTGCCATCTCCTTGTAAAAACAACCGCTTCTAAATGCTGAAGCTCAATTTAGAAACCGATGACTTTAAAAAGAATTCCAAACTCTTCTTTGTAATGTTCTTTTCAGCCCAATTTGCAAAGCACCTTCAAATATATCCTTGAAAAACTAAAACAAACCCAAAATTAAAGTGTGTAAATGTGTGTAAACGCAGAGCTTCAGTGTTTCTAGTACCAGTCCTTCAACACATTACAGAGAAGTGAGTAGAAACAACCGGCTATCAAATGGTTAGCATTTTTTAGAAAACGAAGTCTAGGACAAATACTAGTTCTCCGTATTCCCTGCCGTTTTCTAGTTGCTTCCCATTAATTTATTGTTAACCTCATCCGTTGTAAAATTTGTTGTGATACGTTTCAGAAGAACTAATAAAACCTGCTACAAAATTTGAACCTTTTTTGCAGAGAGTTTAAATACATATAAATGCTGTCTATCTACTGTAGACAGAGTGCTTAACGAGAACCACACTCTCAAAAACCCATCTTTCGCTTCGCGTATACACGTTTTGAAAATATAAATGCAGTGGTTTACAGTAAATGCAGTGTTAGATAAGAAAACGTTAGCATTCCCAAGACAAAAAGAATCAAACACCCATTGATGTTCAACATAACGTGATGCGTGACAAACACCAAATTAAACAGGTCACCAAAAAAAGGTAATCTGAATCGGCTATATTTCACCAATATTCCTTCCTGACAACAAGAAGGAAACTAATTGCTTTGGAAGGAGGGGTACTAAGTGCTTCACGACTACAAAAACAAAAAAACTTTGAAAGAAGCCACGATAATATAGTTAAATACGAAGACTTTTGGTAATTTTGTTTTCTCTTAACTACCCACCAGGAATTCCGAACAAATATCATTGAAAGCTTTCAGCGGCTACTTTATGTATAACTTTGCAATAAAACCAGTGCTCGGCAAAAAAATTCGAAAAATTCAGCACAAAAAATCTAATCAATCGTACAGATATGATACACAGAACAATTTTTAAATGCAGATATATACAAGATGTAAGTTGCAGTATTTCATCAACAGTGAAGAATCTCTACATCCTCCTAAAAAAACAAACAAAAAATTAGAGGTGAAAAATTTTGATCAGAGCTAAAATGTTCTAAAAATGTAACAAGTATAATAATGAAAACATCAATAGTAATCAAGAATAAAAAGTAGAAGCTAAAAATACAAATTAGTGCCGCAATCTCACGTGTCCATTAACAAATGACCGCAATAGGTCATAAGCTTACCAGCCAAACAGTTAACTTCAACCGCAAGCAAAAGCCAAACCAAAGAAACGAAAGATCGTGAAAACACGTTGTTTACTTTTTGAATGACAGTTCAGGAGGTGGTCCGATAAGTGCAGCTGGACAAAAGATGTCATCCAAAAAAGGTAATTCAGCGACTCTAAGGCTTTCACTAAAAGGAATTTTTAAAACAGTAATAGTAGAAAATGGTATAAAAAATAAAATAAGTGAGAGCTTTTAGGGAAGTAATTTCCAGGAAATACCACACATGGTGCTGTATTTTTGAAACGTAACTCCTAGCGTCGGAAAAAGTTTGGAGCGCATTATCAGCGCATGATTAATCGTCCACATCAGTGACTCCACGTTTTCTAGTTCATAGCCAGTAATTTTTACCAACTCTATATTCTGCAGAACAGGAAAAGCAATTTCTCTTCATATCAAGTAAAACCTACTCAACAATTCCGACATTCTGTCAAAAACTATCCTACCCAATCATAATGTCCTCTCGATCGTAAAGCTAACAGCAGACAGGCTGAAGCCATGAGGCTGCCTCGAACTCCAACAAATTCATAAAACAACAAAGAAGTTTCCAAATAATATCGAGCCAAAGTCAGCGTCGTCGAATCTAGCAGCACTGCCTTGAACATGTATTAACTTTAGAAGTGCTAAATGTAACAAGCTCAATTTATGCAGTCAAATTAAAAATCTGAATAGATATAAAACGAAGAAGTTATATTTTTAAAAGAGAGTCAAGATTGACTCACTAAAACTGTGAAAGAAAAATTTGACACATTAAATGTTGCTTTATCTTTTAAAAGCACTTGTTATAAATTGCTTTACTTTTGAAATTTCCTGAAGAAACTGGCAAGCCAAAGGATATGTTAAACGATAGTTGACAGCTTCAAGTACTTGCCTCTCCATCTTCAGTATTTGATTACAAGTAAACCCGGTTCCACAGATACTGACAAAGTCGTCAACTGGAGGTGCACGTTGTTCCTAAGACAACTTACGTAGCACTTTGTCGAAGTAAGCAAAAATTATTTTGAAGTTTTCTTCTATATACCAATAATTTGCCAGCTATGAAAAGAGCGCATATGCCGACAAGCTCCATATTCTGATTTTCTATTTGGTCAGCTGTCCTATCCAGATACAAATCTGTCAACTTGATGGCAGTGTAAAGTGAATCTTCTGACATGTCTAAACAATTGTGCATCTCAACCAGCCAATCAACAATTTTAGCGCGCCTATTCCAGGCAACTCTATTTTTTTCCAAATAATTTCCAACATCGAAGCGTTCCTAAAAAGCTTCAGATTAATCCCATGAACAAATCTGACAGTTTATAAATAGAACTGAAGAACTCACTTCGCGGATTTTAAAGTTGAGAGGAAACTCGTCTACGTGGACTGCTGAGGAAGAACCTTTGTCGGCTTTTTCTATACATTCTTCCGAAATATCATATTCTTCCGGAATATCACATTCTTCCGAAATATCACATTCTTCCAAAATGTCTGCAGAGCTCTTCTAAAGAAAAAATTTAAAGAAAGAAAGAATAATACATGAAGGAATTTATCAAAGAGGAATCCAGTTTCTGAAAGACTGAACAAACTTGCGAAAGTGTTCTTTAATCAAAGAGTGATCTATACAGCTAACAACACCTTATTTTCTATAAGCTCCAGTTCATTGCAAATTGAACTATCGCCGTCCTTATCGAACGGATACGGTCTGTAACAGATACTACAAATAAAATAGGCCATTTTTCATTCAAAGTAAACGATATTCTGGAAGAACAGAAACGAGTGATTTTTCTAAATGCAACCTCTTTGCTAAGATACTTTTTTTTCGAACTACTTCGCCAGAAGTCGTTTCGGTTTCCATCACCTGTAAATTCTGAGAATACAAACTGACTAGAACTAAACAATATATTAACAATTCAAACTAAGTGGAATTGAGAATCCTCCAGATATTCTTCACAGAAGATGTTCAAAAGAAATGTAGACCAAAGCAAGCAAAGCTTATGAGTCATGCAAAACTTATTCTTAGATTCTGATTTACAAGACTCACATTAGTAACTTCGCTCAGACTAACTGCCTGACGTATGCGGTCACTGCTAACTGTTTCATTCTGTCTTTCAGAATTTTCCTTATTTTCTGGAGTAATTTGGAGAGGTATCATCTTGAATAACCGGTGCGGACAACTGAAAGAAGTCCAGGAAAAGAATTTAATAATTTAAAAAGCATAGTTTTTTTTTATTAAAATTATCAAGATCTTTTAACAACGTATAAACCATTAGAAAGCGTAACGGATTGTAAACCTGGTGATTGAAATTTTAAGCCATCAACACAAAAGATACCACAGGTAAAACGCAATTAATAAAAGCAACCAAAAAAAGAAAGTGAGTGACTTGAATAACTTAAGACTGAATTCCATGCTGCCACTCAGGTAGCTTTCCATTCGTTTTGCAACTGACTCTTTGAACTACTATGAGCTCTTCCTCGCTTCACTAACAGTTTGCTTTGAGCTTTATAAACCTCAAGAGCAATTTTAAAATCTCAAGTTTGACGAAAAAACGAAGCAAATCACGTTCCTGACCGACAGCGCGTTATTTTTACAAAAGACTTTAAAAAATTAGTCTCTAGTGAAACCAATCGTCAAAATGTTCATATAAAGAAAAACTGCAACATAATTTACCACTCAGTGTTAGTGGCTCAATAAAGGGCTAAACTGCACTCTTCAGGTTCATATACTACCACGGAGAGATCAGAAAAGACCCTGGCCTTTAAGAAGTACCAAATTCTTCAAGCATAACTTCAATTAGATTTCAAGCCATGCTTGAAGCAATGGCAGACTTGTTATTTTCTCTGCATTTGATATATATATAAATTGCTCTAGGTAGGTATCTTCCGCATATCTTACAAAATTTTGTGTAAAAAAAAGTAAAAGAAAAGCTTAACATAGTAGAGCAAGATCAAAAGCCTCTAATATAAATTATTATCATTGGGTATATTTGTATTGTTTTCTGTCTGTTTCAACCAAAATTTCTTCATTTGAAGTATAAATACTTGGCGCCTTGCAGTAAAATCTGCCAGTTTTCTCCACTTTTAAAGAACCGTTTTTTTCTTAGATAACCTTTTATTTTGTTGCTAACTGTGGACGAGAGAACCATAAACAGCTAGTAAAACAAAATGAAGCTCAGCTCGTTTGGCTGTCACGTCATCTTGTACCTCTACCTCGTTCCAAAAGAAAAAAAGATTCTTGAAATATCTGCTTAGAAGTGGATTGTAAATAAACTTCCAGAAAGCCTTATTCTATGAGGGTAAAATTTATTCAATTAGTATTATTTACCAAAGCAAGGCGAGATTTGGTATGATGCAACTACCTTGTACTGCAATTACGGATATATAATATAAACATGTACAAAATTAGGAATCGTTAGTATGACACCGAGACAGTTAAAAACTTCAACTTTCGCCGTTTTTACAGCTTCCGAATCCCTGTTGGTCGCTCGAGAACGGCAAATAAAATTCAGTCAATAAGAGTCAATCAGTCTGCGTCCTGGACTTCCTACTTAAGGCAGAAAATTCGTTGTAATTTGAAATAACTAGAAGAGATTTCTGCAGAAATGCTAAGTTTTGACACTTAAAATCATAAAGCTCAGGACGAAGCAAGCAAAAAACAATATCAATCTGATGACATGCGCTACTACGCTTAACGTATTCTTTGCTTTCTTTCTTTTTAGCGCACAGTTTTGTCTGAGATGCGGAGCATAAACAACCAAAGCACTTTACGTATATAAAATGCAGGAAAAATAATGGGTCTGTTGCGGCTTCGAGAATAGATTCAAATTCAACCAGAGACAGAACTGTGCAGTTTTCGTACGTTTTAAAGATCAAAAAATGCTTCTAATTTTTCTATAATGTTATTTGAACTTAAAGAAGACAATTTAGATCACTCTTAAAACACCAACGGCGAGTGACAACTGTTGTTGCCGTTCCTCATTTTTTGAATAATTTGATAATTAGTGCCACAGTTAATTGTTTCAAAAATATTTGTCGTCGAAATAACGCGATAAATACAGAAAGTGGTTTGTCAACCTGAACTTTTCGTTATTTTTTTGGAGTTGTGACGTAAAAAGGTTTATGGCGTTATCTAAAAAAACCTTTTTTGAAAGAAGCAGTTACAAAGGTTATTTGCTAAAATAGATGAGAAGTTAATTGAATGGCATCATGTGATTCAATATTATTAGCATCTGACTCCTCTCTTTCTTAGTTGTTTTTAGGGTACCTCATATTTTTTTTGGTGTCTACTAGTTGTATTATATATCTGTTTTGCTGATCCCAGACAGTGTTTAAGGGTCTGCTACATCAGTGTCCCCACTTGCAAAAGACAGCGCAATTTCAGACAAACTTGTCGTCTGATGCTTAGCGTCTGACTGTAAAATGGTCGATAGCCCTTAGTGATCTTCGTGTCAACTGTAAAAAATTTTATCCTCGCATTGAGCCGCGACCTAAAATCAAGTTACTTTGAAATCAGAACAGCAACCAATTAGATTGTTGCCTGGGCTCTACAAAATAGCTTTTTTGTTCGGTAATTCACATTCTTCGTCTTGCAGACAAAAATCCAAGATAACGTTGCAGGTTCCGCAGATGTCACTGTAAC